TTCTCTGTGAGGTGGGTGGGAGGATGAATGTGAAGCACATTTCAATTTTGGAAAACTATCTGCTCAGAAGCATGCAAGAATTGAGAATTAATGAAGAAAACATTACCTTCTAACAAGATAATGACCCTAAGCATACTTCAAGTTGACCATAAAATGGTTTGAAAACTATGGTATCAATGTTCTATCATGGCAAGTCCAGTCCTCAGACCTCAACCCTATTAAACAGCCCTGGTAATTACTCAAGATATCACTTGCAGTCTATCAAGATCCTCAATAGGGGTTATTTCAGCTGTGGGAGAGAGTTGCAGCAGAGTGGGGCAAGATTGTTGATGAGGAATGCCTCAAATTGATAGATATTATGCATAGAAGAGTGGCAGAAGTAATTAGAGCAATAGGAGGAAATACCAAGTACCAGAATTATAGAGATTGTGTTGGTCAAACTGAAAGTCAAAAAAGTGTCTCAATGAGTCACCAAATTAAATTAACCATATCTTCACTTGGTGACATAATTTTCTCATGCTAGAGGAATCAAACATGAAGCTTAGAAGCAGAGCTTTCCCACACCTCCCTATGGCTTAGTCATACTCTCACACCCTAGCTCATAGTACAGCAATTACACAAAAAGTCACAAACATTGAGACACTTCTTTGAGCCACTGTAGGATAGTTCTAACAACAGACAACTCAATAAGAGTCAAGGACCTCTGTTAAGATTCTATGCAAGATGATAAGTCAAGCGTTCAGTGCAAGCCAAGTCAAAGGGAGTGCCTTTAACTTAAAGTACAATTCAGATGACAAGAGATTGGAGGTCTCAAGCGAAGGATATTCAGGGTAAAACCTAGTAAGATTAAAGTAAAGAACTAAAGCATACAAGAGGACTATTTATAGTGAACTACAAGTGCTTTAGGGCAGGCATGAGAACAGATATGAGTCAGAGATAAAGGATGTGTAAGCAATAGCAAGAATAGATCATCTAGCAACGGCAGTGGCGGTCATGATGTAATACAAGGTATGAGTCAGAGATAAGTCTAGCAGCAGCATCATGCAGCTCATGATGTAATACACAGGAATAGAAGAGAAAATGAATAGGGGCATACATGGTTGTAACACTGAGCCCCAGCTTTGGCCCATGGCTTGGCCTGGTATTTTGTCTACTAATGTGCTAACAAGTTCAAATTTTTCTTCATTAATTCATACTTGGATAGATACACTTTCATGACCTTGCACTAGCTATGTACATAAATTAGAGAGCCTAGGTCTAACTTCTGCAAAATTTTGCTAGCCTAGCAAGCTTAGGTCAAACTAACACTAATTTTTTCTAAATTTCTCTAAGTTAAAATGGGAGGGTTTTCCTGATGCACTCCCTTAATAACAATCCACCCATTACTAGTACTAGCCAGGCCTTAAAAAGATTCAAGGCTTGGTCACTAATGCTGCTAGTGCCAACTTTCAGACCTTCAGTTATTTTTTGTTGCTCTCAGACTCTAGTACTACTTTGTTATGCTTTAAGAATCACTTGAAAATTCCTAACATCAACATCAGATGACTTCAAGGCTTGACTAAAGATTGTATCATGCATTTGATGCTGTGTGTCACACACTCAGTGGTGTATCACACAATTTATTGAAGTTCACTTTGGAGTGTCATATCATGCATGTGGCAGTTCAGACATGGAGAATACTCTCACCAGCTAGTGTCTTGACCATGTCTCAATATTTTGTGAAGTAGGGCACTGATGGTGAGCAAGCATATCTATACACAATGTAAGTACATGTAACCTGGTGGGTACAGTAGCTGTCTGCTTACACACCACTCAAACTATCTTTAATATATACAGCTTTTTGACATCTGCAACATGTCATTCACAGACACAGATGCTATTTTTGCAGGACAAGACAGACGACAATATACTATATAGTGATGCACAAAAGAAATATTCTACAGTGGATACAAACTCGCACAGAATTTTTTTTACAAGACAAGCCATGACAGACGAGTTTGTTGTGTGTGATCTCTGCTTGTTGATCCTCCCTACCGTCAGATCTACCATGAGGTTCAATAACAACTTGCGTCCCACTGGCCGTCCACGATGCCTCCCCCGACTCTAACATATCGTAACCTACCACACAAAATCATCGTCCCTCACCAGCCGCACATTCAGAGGCACCTGCGGTGTCACGCCATCCCCAGCAGGGGCCTCCACAACAGGGATATGAAAACCCCTGAGCTTCCATTGTATCTCCTTCACGTGCCCTTGTGCATTCCGCTCCGTCGGGAGCGAGAAGTGCAGGCGCAGCACAAGTGTCGCGAGGACTTGTTCTAGCGAGAGGGTTAGTTCTGACTGTGAATTGTCACCCACCTAAAGGTATGGACGTACTGATTTCCATTTCGGCAAATTTGAACCCGCTAGGAATCGCGAATTGTGTAATTAGTCAGAAGGAGGTCATGAGAAGGAAGGGACTGACATGCAGGAATGGCTGCCACCGAGAAACGTCATCCTGTGTACGCATGCCACTTTAATAAACTCAGTGGGAACCGGAAGCATTATCAGTACTCACATGTTAGAGTACACGCCAGGAAACCGCATACCATCCTTAATGCCCAGAACAGGCGCAGATGTCGACGTGGACATGGCATCTTCTCCACCGACCAGGATGTCCATGTCTGGAGGAACAGCCAGAAGTGATGACAACCATCGCTCGGGCCGCCACTCATTTGCGTCGGCACCCCATATACCTTGATGGCGATTCGCAGCAAGGATGGAGATGATTACATGGGTCCCCTGTGGGATTGTGACGGCAGATGTGTGCTCACCGGACCGTGAGCGTGTGGGGAAATGTAAAGGAAGGGTGGTTGCTTTGGTCGCTCTGTACCATGCACAAGGTGATATATATGTGAGGACTAATAAGAGAAAAATGGACGTACGTTCGGATCATGAGTGGGAGGGACGGGTAGAGACGAAGAGTCTCCTTTACGATGCTGTCGAGGAAGGGAAGGTTCATGAGGACGTCATAGGGCAGTTTAGCGGATGGGATGTCGTTGTCTTCCTGTTGTCTCGAGAACTTCATGGCATCACTAATTTCGTTCCTAAGTCTTGCTTGAACGCGAGGGTGCTGGGCGAGCAAGTACACACAGCGGGCAAGTGCAGAAGTAGTCGTGTCGAGGCCAGCAAATACCATGACGCTGTAATGTGATCAGACGATGTTTGGAACGCGCACATTATTAGAAACCTACTTCATTTGTCCCAGCAGTTCAGCATCCGTGAGCTTTGCACTAGATAATGCGGAATTGGCCTTAACTGTGCATGCTTGAGCCATGATGCTCTCGATTATGGTTCATGGAACTCACGCATGATATCCATCATCGATGGTATCGAATCACTGTCTCCACATAACATATCCTCCGCCTCCATTGCCGCTTTTTCTCTGCAAATACATTTCGACTGACAGAATCCATGGTCTCAACAATGCGGCGCATCTCCCGTATGTCTCTCATAAACTTTGTCGGGATCCAGGGCGCCGTGACCAAATCAAGAACTTTCCTTGCCCAGTACGGCGAGCAGCAACGCATGACGATTAGTACAAACGGCCGTAACAAGCAGAGATTTCCTATTAAGGGCCTGCAGTATGTATTGTTATGACTCAAAACAACGGGAGACTAAATTGAGCGGACGCACCCGACCGACCGCAGTGCTTCAGTGTACATGTCATCTTCTGCAGCTGAGAGGCTATCGGAGGTGTACCCAAGGACACAATGACAAACGCTGTCGAGGGCGCAGCGGGAGAGCCATGTAAGGACGTCAACCTCGCTGTGTGCTGCGTGACAGGTATCAACTGAGGTTTTTCTAAGTGTAAGAGTGTGATACGTACAGCCATCGGCAGGAAGTTTAGCTGCGAGGGTGGATGCCAGTCTATCAGTGATGTGATATACTGTGGAGAGGAGTCGTTGCATGTTTGACGTTGAGAACACGGGACTGATAAGTTTGCGTTGTTGGCGATGCTGCTCTCCTGGGGATAAGTACGTAATGTTAAAAGAAAAGTAATTGATTCTTGACGAGATGTGCCGCACCAATGGTGGATATCAGGCCTTCGCCAAATACAAGTTTGTTTGACCTTGATGCACCAAGTTAATGCAGTACGAGAAAAGTAGGAGGAAACTGACACGATGAAGTCTTCGGGCTCTTGAAATATTTGCTGGTCTTTGACTACAATGTGATGCAATGCACGTGGATCGGACACATAGACAATTTCCTAAAGAAATGAGCATTCGCAAGGACAACTCGGAGCACGCTGATGGGCGTCGTGAACAGACTTACGCCATATAGCCCATGGAGTCTCACCGCCCCACCATATTTCTCTGAAAGGTTCACACAATAGTCAACGCCATCAAACAGTCTGATAATGTTGCCTATGTTGGAGGTCAGACGAAGAAGCCGAATAATGACGAGTACGTGGTTCAAGAACCTGATAGCCAATTCCCCCTGTCGGGTCCATTGAGATCAATGCCATGCGGTCGTCGCAGTAGCGAATTGAAGACTTTAAAGAGAGCGAGGAAGAAGCTTCCGACTAGGCAGAATAGGATTAGCGACATGGAGATGAGACAACTCCAGAGGTACTGGGATCCCTGTTGATATAATTCTGATTAATTTCAAACTAGCCATTATAAGCATGCAATTAGTACTAGTGAGGCTGCGCCATGTGTTCTAGGACTATGTGGATATCAATCTCGGGTTGATTCACGGGCATGGCGAATAGGCTGATGACGTACTGTTACTCCATTGTGGGCAAAGGACCATCTACTGCGCGTTCGAAAAGGATGGATTTAAGATTAGAGTTTCAAGTAATTTCGAGGTTTGTCAAAGTCCGGGACAATCGGTTCAGAAATTGTCACCTCGGTGATCGTTTAAATCGGGGTTAGACTTGTTCAACCAAGTTGATTCGCAACACTGGTCGAAAATTTCAGCCTCGTGACTCTTGCCTCATTGTTTTTTTGGGGGGGTGGAATGATATTATCAACTAGCAACTGACATGGTCAATCCTAGAAGATACGTTTGGGGTACGCGATTTTCACCCGTGTTAGATAGTAAAAAGGTCACCGAGAGGAAATACTTCATGTAAGTGTGGAACTTACATAATTACACCTTGTTCGGAACTACCTATTCCGTCCCGAGGGACGGCGAGGTGTCATACCCCTGCTTGTCGGATCCAGTTATCCGGAAGGTTGTAGGAAGCCGCTCCAAGTCTGTAGGACTATGTCTATTTTAGTAGCTTTCTTATTGAGTCGGTGAGCAGCCGGTCGAGTTTCAATCTCATGTTGATGGCATGGATCCGTCTGTGTAGGATCTCGGCTTCAGAGTGATATTTTCTTCATCTCCTCCATACTTGATGCATTGATGGCCGTTCGCATCTTTGCCCCCGGTTTCTTTTTACCTTTCGTGTTGCGGAGAACTGCTAAGTTACACCCCAGGATCGTTTCGAAGCGGATTTCTGGCCAGTTCGACTCTCGCATGCACCATAGGTCACTGGCCGCTCTCCAGATGATACAAGACGCAGACGATCTATCACAATCGATCAGGATATGTTCCATAGACTCAGGTAAGTCATATAAGCCACTTTTTCCTCTGTTTTCGCAGTTGGGGATTTTGTCCCAGAATTCACCCATTTTCTACGGCACATGCAGATTTTTCCACAGAAATCCTCGAATGATTGTGGGAATTCTGATCGATAACCAGACTGGGTGTTTCACCGCTTATGTCGCACGCTGCATATTAAGTGTCATCACCGTGGTTAGTCTCCTTCGTTTTGGAGCTATCTGAGACTTCCTTATATTTTTGTAGAAGAGGCGTTGTGTGCCGGTACACAGTTTCATGCCCGTCAGCTCTAGAGGTGGGTTTATCCTCATTTCAACATCATCATGTTGGATTTTGTTCATCCCTGATTTGGCAAGAATTGTGGCTCTGTTGTGTGCAGTTTCGGTGTTGATGCATCCCATCCTGTGAGGGTGGTCAGTGTGCAGTGAGCTCTTAGGTTAGCGATCAGCGCAACCATCGATTCTTTGTTAGGGTAGTCTAACCAGTCAGAGTCCTATCTTGCGTCATTGCCAAATACTTCGAAGAGTGTTTCTCTTGTTTCTCTCGCTGCTGCAGCACACGGGAATGATATTCCAAGCCATTTGACACTTTTAATATTTGACTTATTTCTCCAGAGTTCTGATCCAAAATTAAAAATTCTTCCTGGGCCTTCAAGAGGAGCTTTATGAGAAACCTTTCCGGGAATTACATCTGGTGCAGATTGGTTTCATGTGGATGCTATTTGATGATGAGTAGAATAACTCAACCTTGCTTACTTAAGAGGTGTTGGATTCCGATGAGGCCCACTTCAATCAAGTCACTAGCGAAGTGCCCTCAATACCAGCTCAGCGTTGCAAAGACCATTGATCACCGATGATAGAATCAAGGGTAGATTTTGCGTCACTCTCACTCTTCCCCGCGACACGTGCGCAGGTTGAGGGGTCATGGCGCCGGACGTGGCCACAATGGGGTGGCACTCTGAGTCTCACAGAGTACCTCACGCGAGAGGCTGAGATGGAATCCATGGATCACGCAAAGGATGGAAGACTGATCACCTGGTAAGCAACCCATTGTGCCGGGGCCCGGCAGGGAAGAAGTTAATGGGAGAGGAAGGGTGCTGGCGCCACGGGATGACCCAACTACTCTTGATTTCATGTGTTCCTGTGAGGCGTAAGCGACTCGAATACTCTCAATAAACGTGTATTTCTCTGACGCGCGTCTATGGGGACAGATTCAAACGCTCAGGTCTCGTTGCTTACCCCTCCTCTTCTACTTCTGAGCCCAACTCAGTGCACGAAGTAACCTGTTACGCCATTGCCAGTGTCTTCACCCCACCCTCCAAACGCGGGCGCGGCTATGCGAGCCACATGATGCGCCTCTTACATTGGGTCATTGCCTCACGTGCCAATCTCCCCAAGTTCCCACAAGCATGGGGCGCACCACCGGAGCAGGTAACGGAAGCTAGTGAGGGACTGTTCTCTTGCCTGTATAGCGATGTCGGAGAATACTTTTACCGCTCCGCAGGCCCTGGGGGTAAAGAGGGTGGATGGGAGACGCGGGGAGCCGTTTCGACTATTTGGGACGTGGATGCAGAGGAGCGGAATGATGATGATGATGATATTGGGTGGACGTGGTTGACGCAGGAGCAGCTGAACGGACTTTGGGATCGCGATGCTGGGCGGATCAATAAAGAGCTGGCGAACATGTTGACAAGCGACACCTCATATGAGGTGCAGCGCCCGGCAGCATTTGTGACGTACCTGCCAACAAACGGTGTCTGCGGGTTCCACATTCCACGCTCGACATATGCTTCGGACGTTTCTATGGTAGGTGGATTCTGGGGTATACAGTCTTTGAACGACCCAGACACGTATGCAAGCTGGAGCGTGGACTTCAGACCTCCTCCACCAACGCTAATCATTACGCGGCTCTGTGCCAGTGAAGAGACGTTCCCTGGGCTAATTGCGAAGATCACTCAGGCGGCTAGACGCAGCGGAATTGGGAAAGTAGAGGTGTGGAAATTGGGAGAAGGATTGAAGGACATTGCGGAGAGGACGGGTGGGCGGACGGTTATACGAAACGAACATTTGCCACAGATAGTGTGGTATGGACCTGGAGCGACAGGTAATATAGAGTGGGTGTATAACGAGAAGTGAGTCCCCCTCCTACCCAAAAAAAATGTGTGCATTCGTACTGACAAGTTTGTCAACAGGTTCGGCTGGTGCTGATACGGGATTGGGTCACAGTTGCAGAGTAATCAGAGGTATCGCGCATCCACTTCCACTTCAAGAGAAGGTGTCTTCACCTTCCGCGATATTGATGAGGCGGACATTAATACCACCACTCTTCTGAACGATTACTGTTTTCAACTTCTAGTTGGCTATGCCTTGGAGAATATTGAGGCGGATGCAAACTGGTGAGTGATTTTTTGGTCAGGCAGCGAGCAATACGACATTGTATACCGGTAGTTTTCGAGAGGGATTTAATGGTGCTGGATTGAGAAACTGCTTGAACTGCTCCAGCACATCGTATCGCAGGTTGAGGACAGTGATATACTTACCTCAAACCTGGTTTAAACTCCCACTTACTTGAGTAAGATATGGGCTCCGCCGCGTTCGTTCTCGATTTCATTTTCGAGTTCAGCATCGAGACTCGACAGCCTCTTGTATGTTTTTTATACATCGGTTTCCTCTATGTGCGGGTAACAACGTAGAATTAATCTTCCCGTGATTCCTCAACATGTCTCGAAGCAATAAGTCGCCCGAATTAAAAAAGTATAAACTAACTTGTAATCCATCATAGTACAGCATAGTACTTGCACCTCGGCATCCCAATTAATGACAGTTGCAAGGCTACAAATATTGAAGCATCTGGTCAGTTTTACATCAATTTCGGAGGGCTCCACGTCCACTCCCGGTCACCTTCCATTTCCAATAGCTTCTCGATCTCTCCGTCATCCATCCCATAACCCTCCTTCTCGTGTTGAGGGAAGCTACCATCTCGAACAGCACTAGCGTATGCCTTTACACCTCGTTCGACCTCGCTCTTAACATCCCCAAACCGTCTCACAAATTTTGCCTTGTGCCCCGCCCATGTCCCCATTACGTCGTCCCACACGAGCACCTGCCCACTGCAGCCCGGGCCCGCACCGATGCCAATAGTGGGCACCTTTAACCGCGATGTAATGTATGCAGCAAGAGATGAAGGGATGGCCTCGAGAACAATGGAGAATGCTCCTGCCTCCTCTAAGGCGAGGGCCGAGTGCAAAATTGATCTACCAGACTGCGCAGTGCGCCCCTGGACCCGGTACCCGGAGAGCGCGGTGTGACGCTGTGGTAGCAGCCCTACGTGGGCCATTACTGGGATTCCAATACTCGTGAGTGCTTGCACACGTCCAGCAATCTCACTCCCTCCCTCTAGTTTCACGGCTTCCACGTTTCCCTCCTGGAGCATGCGGACGGCTGCTCGAACCGTGTCTTCTTTCCCGGCATAAAAGCTTCCGAATGGCATGTCTGCGACAAGGAGCGGTGCGGATGTTCCCCGGGCGACGGCGCGGCAATGGTGAAGCATCTCATCAAGAGTGAGTGAAGTAGTGCTGGAATAGCCTAGGCAAACCTGGGCTAGGCTGTCACCGACAAGTGTGACATCAATGCCGTGTATGGATGCAGCACGTGCAGTGGGATAATCATATGCTGTGAGTACAGTAATCGGGGTGCGTTCTTGACGGAGGGCATGCAGAGAAGCGATTGTTACCTTTTTGCGGGCTGTTGGGCATGATGAGAGATCGAGTCCGCGATTTGAAGTAAAAAATGACTCACGAGGCGGTGGAGCTGGTTTCTGTGGGGAAGGTTCACCAAGTGTGTTTGTGAGATGCTCATATTTTAATGGGCGGACGCTCATACACCGCTGGCCGAGGTTTTGGAAGCGGGCGATCGAGGCAATTACGCGAGTACGAGGCGTAGAGAATGACATCTGTGCATGCATGATAAATTTCTGAGATGGTGAAATCAGGGGATCTGTTACTGCAGCGTGTGCAATATAATGCTTGCACCTAGTATATGACCGATGAATGGGACCCAATAATTGCTGAAGTCTGCTGTGAATTAATATAGGATATCAGACCATTTGATAATCCGTGTGCACACGAGCGTGAATTCCTAACGGATCTGCCCTGGTGCATGTCAAGGTTTTCAGAGACTGTGTCTTCCGTCACTTCCGGATCACTCGACTGGTAGCCGGTTTGTGAATACTCATGAATAAAAAAGGAAACTCAATTCACGTGACACCACATCGCGCATTTGGCCTTCTCCCCATTGTCCTCACGTTCCCACGCCCCTTGCACCACAACATCGACAATGGCACCAAAAACGCGCAGACAACGAGCTCAGGCAGCCCACGAAAGCGAGGAGATAGCAGAGATTCAAGTCGAGAAAGAGCTGCTCAACTCTGATTCAGAGATGGAGCAAGAGAATGACGAGAATATATTTGTCATTGGTGATAGGGACAATGAGTATGGGGCCGACGAAAACTCATTCAGCATTTCTATACCACCACCACCCCGCTCGCTGGCAAATCCGCCTCGCACGCCTTCTCATGAAGATGCGCTTCGTGACATCACTGATGAATTTTTTCATCCACCTTCACCATCTCCGATCAAAGCAGTTCCCGCGTTTGCAAACCTTAAACCACCTCGACGGCCAAAGAAACCAAAAAGCCTCGCGTTCCCAGCCAACCCGCCCAACTGGCAGCCAACATCACCACTCCCTCCCAGCTCGCCGCTCGCTTCTACTTCCACATATGGACCGCAGAACTACGCGTCAACATCGCATGCTAATGCCTACGAGTATAACATGACTGCGTTTTATCGTCATACACAAGAGATAGACCCTAGAAGTGGTGATTCAGACCCATTCGGTTTTTTAGCGGCCGAGAAGGTACTGAAAGAACGACGCGCTGCACGTCTACCAAGCGAGAAGCACAAATACGTTCAATCTACTGTTTTACGCGTCACACCACGTTCCACACGTACCAGAGGACAGCTTAATCGCGCTACGTCTACTCCAACGCGCCCAGCCGCTTCCTCAGTCCCCATCCCGACAAACGATGAAGACATCGATGATCTCTATCTCGACGAACCAATCACGACATCTATTCCAGTCCCTGCGCCGATCCTGCGTCATTCGCATATCCCAACACCATCGTCTTCCCCTGCTTCCCTTCGCTCGGAGATAGTAGTCCCAACCCTACTTAAACCTCGCTTGGACATTTTACGAGACCATCCAACACACAGCCGCGATCCCCTCCGTACGCCGCGAAAACGTAAACGTGATGTTGAAGCTGCCACTCCCGCCTCCAGCGACGTAGTATCCAGCCCATCACCTGTGAAGATTAGCGTAGCCGCTAGAGGACCCCAAACACCGTCAGATTGCCCGGAGACAGCGGATGAACATACTCCTGTTCCTAAACGTACAACACGTGCACAGGCGAAAGGGAAGGGGAAAGCCCAGGGTGACATGCTCAAGCCTCGCAAACGTGTCCGCACTACTAAAGAAGTTGCTTCGCTGAGCCCTAGACAGGCATGCAAGGACTTGGAGAAACTCTTGCCGCGTAGAGCGACTACACGGAGGGGAGCTGCCGTAGCGAAAACTGGGGCTAAAGGAAGGGTTAGGATGGCTGCCGATCTTGTGGGTGACAGTGATAGTGATGAGGAGCAGCCGAAGCGGAGGAAGCCTGCATCGAGGGCACAGCCATCATCAAGTGCCCCCAGAAAACCCGTGTCAAAGGGTGTCAAAAAGTCGTCCTTGAAGTCTCGGAGTAAGGGCAAAGAGAAAGGGAAGCCTCTCAATGACTTGATGGAAATGTCAGATGATACCCGCGAGGTTCGCTATAGCTATGTTCATGAAGACTGCTTCTTGCTGATAATTGTTTCCCTAACTCTTAGCGATACGAAGAGGAGCGTCTAGCGCGCCTTGAGTACTTCCGCAAATTAGATGGTTATCAAATGAAGAAGGAAAATGTATATGTAATTTGAAGTTTCTGGACAGGGTGTGGCGTTTTAGGTTTGAGTCTTGCTTTTTTCACTGCCCAACTGGCAAACTTATCTTATTGTTTTCCGTCGTTGCTGTCTCGATGTTTTTGTATCATATGTGTATAGTTTCATTGGTGCCAGACGTTCCAGCATGGAGCCCAGATTTCCAATGGCTCTAAGTAATTGAGAGCCTTGGCCTAAATACTGCGACTGTGCTCATCACAATGTTCACTCACCGACGTGCTATGAAAAATTTGCTAAATCGGACGGGATGCATGTTATAATGTGATATTGTCTATGATTATTTCACCTTAAGATGTTTTTTTGCGATACGATCCCAGTTCTCCTGGTTAACAGCAAAGGCGCCTGCATAAATCGCCTCCAACTCATGCAATTTCTTGCCGGCGATGATGAGGCTGTGAAGTGGTTTTCCAAATACAGACTCTGGTTGGACCTGTAAATCCGAGAGAGTACCTGCGACGATACGTTGAGTACCGCCGTCATCATCTGTCGATGCTTCGCTGGAGGGTATGCCGCCCACACGCGATAGTGCAATAGCGAGTGTCGAATCGCCATCAAGGATACCTTCTTTTCTAATGTTTTCGATCTCGAGAAGCTGGTTCACGGCTGTAGGAATGGACATATATCGTGGCGGCTCGTATATTTTTCTTCCTCTGCGTTTCAAAATAAATCAGAAACTAAAGGGGCCAAAGAAGGTGAGGAATATAAGCACCTCGCTAGATTCTCTTCGCTTTGTTCCTTTACCTTTATGTCAAGAAGTACCAGGGTATGCAGCCCGAACTTGGCGTTCTCTGCAATGCGGTCGTAGAACGAGTCTGGTTTCCATGTGTCTGTAAAGAAGACGAGAGATACTGTCTGCCCGAAATTGTAGAGCTGAAGCCCCGAGCATCCCGCTGCGTTGATGATAGATGCATTATGGATGATTTGAGTAGGGATCTGCAGATCGCGAGCTCGTAGCAGCAGATCTGTGTGCGTTGTCGCGCTGCGGATGGCTAATAAGCCAATGCAGACAAGAAAGGGGAACAGGACGGCCTCACCCAAATGGATCACCAACGACAAGAAATGCAACGTTTTCGGTGGCTGCGTCGCGTAAGATCTCATCGCTCTCGAGTTCTACCATGTCGCGATCTGCAAGGATAAGCGACTTTCCATAGAAGGCTTCCTTGCTCGCATGTGAGCAATGAGAGAAGAATGGTGTGATGATAAAACTGACGAGGCGGTCCTTGTTCACCATCAGGATGGACGTGTAGGCCTCCAAGTAGACTCGAGAGCAGGATTTGACTGCTTCCAATCCACGGACTGTGATGTCCTTCTCGGTCGCAGAGTCCGAGACCAATCACGTAGAACATTTTGGAACACTTTGTAATGACTAGTCTAGCAGGTCATAAGGCTAGTAAGTGCATCGATGATCGTCTTAGTGACAATATATTTAGTGAGAGCTTTATGTAATTCTACTTGCCTTTTTCAGACAGACCCTCTTCAGGTCTTGCTCGGTTTCCATTGAAGGTTTCATTAACATTCATTGTGCACACATCATGATTTCCCGGTTCGCAAAGTCTTTTCTGGCGATTGTCCTTGGCCTCGTACGTGTTTTTAACACTGTCCTGGAGCTTCTCGAAAATAATTGTTTCAGTTTTCTGCTGGCCACAATAGCATTCCTTCACCCACCTTCTCGTGCGTACATCGACCATGGACTGGCGACTTATTCGGTGAATGCGGCGTCGAACAGGATCTACGCCCTCCTCTTTATGATAGCTCACGACCTTTATCAGCTCAGGGAGGTGTCATCATGGTCGAAGCTGGGGAATGAAACTGCCAAGTAGGTAATGCGAGATGCTGTTCATTGCGTTCTTACACACTTACTACAGGCGGAACTCGGTCGCGCGACTTGGAAGTTGTTGTATGTATTCGGATTATTGTATCATGGACGTCTGCTGAACGCTGTTGCTTATTGGTGTAAGGTAGACATACCATGACTCTACGGTATCCTGAGGTAGGGTGTGTTTGATATTTAAGTCTATCGACTATACTGACGAGATCACATATGTAGCGCCCGTCACAGGACGAGAGAGATGCTTTGAATTCGTATTTGCATCTTACGTCGCGCCTATACCCCTGTGGGCCGAATGCGCAGCCGAATTTCAAGAATTGTTGAAGAAATTCCCGCCACAGGTAAATTCTCTTTAACTTTGAACTTTACCCTGCTAAGAAGCATTCAACAGACAGGATCGAGATTAGCAGCAAGTCTATGGTGAATACTCCCTTTTTAATAATCTGAGTCCTCGCCGCTTACACGAGGTTAGGCTATGCTCAGTACACAACAAAGTCAACGAGCGGTTAGGAAAACCGTTATTTGACTGTGCCCACCTTGATGAAACGTATGACTGCGGGTGTGAGACGACAAATCAACGTCCGCAGCGCGACAACCAGCGTTACCTGACAGCGCTGACGACCAATGGATCTAGAATGGGACACTGTACGAGACGACGTCACTGGTGTAGGAATGATCAAAGGTGGGAGGCGGTAGCCACCTCGCTGCCAAGTATGTCTGAGTTGGGTCTGGCATCATTGATCGGCTTTTGTGCTTTCGTATCTATGTTTTGGATGTATCTTCTACAGCTGTGCATGCATATATGTATATACCTTCCTCTCTTTACTTGGATATGCTGATGTACCATGGGTTATACGGTGAACTTATACCGGTTAATGGTTCAACAAGCTGGTATTCAACATTAATATTATTGGTCTTTGTTCACTTTCGCTGCAGTGATGCAAGATTATATCTTACATTCAGCCTGAGTATATATCCTAGCGATTTCAAGCTGCCAATTTGTTTTTAGAGATTTCAAGACCGACCAACCACAGCTGGAACGCGTGTTTCGAACGACCTAGACCATGATGCAATGAATGCATCGATTGAGACTATTGCCAGCAATTGCTTGCTGCCTGTTCTATTCTCTAGGTCACTACGCGTTTGAGATCTTATCAGATGCGGCAGTAGATAAACCAAATCAGGACCGTTGATCTATACGAGTCACTGACTTTCAAATGTGTACTGATCTGTACTGTAGAAAGTCCTTACTCATACCACCATCTAGTTCTTCAGGGCTTTTAATTGAGATACCCTCAATGCTGACAATATACATAGATCAAACATCAGGCGTCGACGCGTCCGGCAATGGGTCCGTTGATCAACCTTATCAGTCCCTTGCCTTCGCCCTCTTCTCGACGCCCACCGCCGACGCCGAAACGACACAATACCAAATCCGTAAGGACGCAGATGCAGCATACGATGCACCAACTCAGTCTGCGATGAAAAAGGCCAAAAAGGACGCCCAGGGACTTGAGAAGAAACGGCTGAAAGCACAAGCGGAAGAGAGAGAATCAAAAGAGAAGGCAGAGAAACGCGAACGAAGGCTTGAGGAAAGCAAAAAGATCGTGCTTACTGAAGATCCATCTCTCCCAAAACCTGTCAAGGTAACAGCGTCGTTAATTTGGAGCTGTGATTACGCCGCTTATTTCCAAATTATATAGTCCAAGATCGTAAAATTGGAGTCCCATCGCGAGCAGCGCGTCCGGGTATCCGGTTGGGTCCACAGACGGCGCGACCAGCAAGAAATCACGTTTGTTGTCCTGCGGGACGGGACAGGATATCTACAGGCTGTTCTTACTGGCAACGCGGTAACTTTTGCAGTCCACAGTTTTGGACTTTAGATCTAATTCGCCCCCCAGAACAAAACATACGATGCTGTAACGTTACAGCTAGAGGCATCAGTTGAGCTGACCGGTATGCTGAAGGCGGTCCCTGAAGGCCAGCGCGCCCCTGGAGGACACGAACTAGTCGTTGACTACTGGCGCGTACTTGGTGCCGCTCCTGGTGCTGAGGAAGCATTTACTAACAGACTCAACGAGGTCCGAGTCGTTTGACTAATTCATTGGACATGTGTTAACCGTATCTTCAGCAATCTGATCCATCGATTCTGGCTGATCTCCGGCATCTCGTTCTCCGTGGCGAGACCGCTTCTTCTGTGCTTCGCCTACGTGCGGCCCTTCTCTCAGCTTTCCGTCAGTCGTATGCAGACAACGACCTTTTGGAGGTAACACCGCCCTGTTTGGTACAAACCCAAGTGGAGGGTGGCGCAACGCTCTTCAAGTTTGATTACTACGGTCAACCAGCCTTCCTCACGCAGAGCTCCCAGCTTTATCTTGAAACATGTCTACCTTCCCTGGGCGACGTATTCTGTGTCCAGGAGAGCTTCCGTGCCGAAAACAGGTTTGTGCTACCTTCCCATTCGCCGGACGTGTTTTCATTCTAATGGTTGATTTCGTCCTTCCCCAGCACACTCGCCGACATCTGAGCGAGTACACGCACCTTGAAGCCGAGCTTGCATTCATCACATTTGATGACCTCATGACACACATAGAAGCCATTGTACGTCCTACTACTGTATCTTCCGAATTTCTGCTCAGTGCATCTGCAGACTGCGAGACGGTCGATAAGCTCCTCGTCAACCCTGCCACCGCAGCCCTTATCAAAACCCTGAACCCTCACTTTAAAGCGCCTTCTCGACCATTCATGCGTATGTCCTACGCGTCCGCCATCGCATGGCTCAACGAGCACAAGATCCAACGCCCGGCTGAGGACGCCGACGGCAACGTGATCACCAAGAAAGATGAGGAGACTGGTAAAGACGAGCCCGTGATGTCGACCATGAAATCGGCGACGACATTGCGGAGGCTGCGGAGAGGCAGATGACGGATATCATTGCGGCGCCAATATTTTTGTATGGCTTCCCAGCGGAGCTGAAGGCATTCTACATGCAAAAGATGCCAAGGAAAGAGGGAGAGCAGGGCCCTGTATACACAGAGAGCTGTGACCTTTTAATGCCTGGTGTTGGGGAAATTGTTGGTATGTGAAATTCTGAACTGCCGTGTGCTACTACCTATGACTAAATATGGATAGGGATCGATGAGGATAGCGATATGGAAGAGCTACTGGCAGCGTACAAGCGCGATGGCATCGACCCTGCCCCTTATTACTGGTTCACTGACCAACGCAAATATGGTACTTGCCAGCATGGAGGGTACGGACTGGGTGTCGAGGTCAGTCTCTCTTTATTTTTGCGCAAAAACGTGATGGCTGACGTCTGGTGTAGCGTTTGCTTGCATGGCTGGCCAACCGATTCACCGTGAGGTATGTATCAATCAGGACTGATAAAGAAAATCACATTGACACAGACGCCTTCCAGGGAATGCTCGCTGTATCCACGATGGCCCGGTCGTGCAACACCTTAGGTTTGATTCGGCCCTCGATGTTTGGCAGTATCGTGAATAGAATGTATGGGTTGTGTATAATAGATTCGAGCCGTTTGATGTCTATCTACCCCCATCCAAAGATGAGCAGATGCCAGTGGAAGACAAACCATTAATAACATGCATCCGAGTATGTGACGATACACCTACAAAGGCTCTTGTTTTCTAAAAGTGCATTTGCTTGGGCATCAACCATGCTGTCCATGACCTGCTCAATTCGTGTAGTAATATTAATTGGCCATCCATTGCCTTACTATTGAGCCGGGCATCAACTTGGCGAGTCAACATAAGCCTTGGGGTATTCGCGGTCTGAGTATCAACTCTGAATTCTCCGGCAGACCCTGAGGACTCAAAAATGCATGTGTCAAGGGGCTAGATATAAGAAGCATTTACTGTCGATGATGATATCGGTTGTGGTGAGTTCGAGAAATGGTGTTGAATGGACATTGAAAATGTCCTTCAACGCGCCCATTAGCAGTGGTCAAAATTCTCGCCTCGACTGCTACAGCCGCTATGCACATAATGCAGACTTCGGCAACGAACAATCAAGCTCTGAATGACGCAGCACAAATCTGGATATTTGAATTTCTCCTCACATCTAGTCAACATTGAGTATTCAAATCAATTCAAAGACGCCTCCATTGCCCATGAAGCAGGAAAAACTCCCCAGAATCCAAGAACAACCACATTGACCAAGTCAGCAACGAACTACGTATTCTTCCATCAGCCACAGCACCAATATGGAAGCAGAAACACGACTCACTGTCCAGATGTGCTCATGTACAGGCTGCTAGCCCATCGGTAAGCAGTCTAATAATTGCAGACTTTGATACCGCCGCGAGGCTATTGACATTGCAAGGTGCGAGGCGTGAGCAACTGGGTTGAATCCTGAATGCAAAGCAGTCCACTCGTACTCACCGACATCACA